TGTCTCAAATGAATAATAATAAAAAAAAAAAACACTTAAAAAAAAAAAATCTTGTAGGCATTGCTCCACTGTTTTACTGATGAATATTGCTTTGGAGAAATTTGAGAACAGCCAGATTTTTTTTTCTCCTTCAAGGTGGCTTATCTGTGTGACTTCTCATTCAGCCTCTCTTCATCTGATTCCTGTACTCCAGCAAGATCCTGAGAAGCTGCTGCTGCCAACCTGTATGCCACAGCCACACTATTGCAAACGGGGTTTTACTTTTTGCCCCAAAAGATGTGTAAGGTATATTTTAATTAAGAAATATGTTTGTTGGTTTCTTCTACAATATTCACCACCAGGCATCATCTCAGCCTCTTCCCTCTTGTAAGGCTGCCTGAGTCATCCTGATAGCTTTTGGCAGCTTTTCCTAGTGTGTTGGGGTTTGGGAATTCAGTTGTCTTCTAGTTCACAGAAAATGGACTATATATTTTTATTTTTCAGTTTCCTTATTGGTTTTGGGCAATTTCACAGGAGAGAAAGGGGAGAATGCCTCCATCTGTTGCTAGGAAACTTTTTTATTCTCTTGAAATTTTTCATATTCTTAAATCAAGTTGCTTACCTACTTTGGTTAAGTTCTGTGTCATCATTTATAAGGGCTATAATCACCCACTGTATGTGTATCGACTTCATAGGGGTATGTGTCAGAATCTGTTTTACCTGTTGGGGCAGCAGCAGCAGAATAGAGCGAAGTCTTTGTCCTTACAAAATGATACAAGAGATGTGGCTTGGTCCAGAATAGCGGAACTGGAAGTAATTAAAAGTGCTGAGTGAATTTGTTGATGGACTAATATGAGGATAAGAGGGGAAAAAAAAGAGGTAAAGATAACACCAATATTTTTGGCATGAGAAATCACCAGGATAGTTATTAAACATTATAAAATTTCAAAATACCTGGGAAAAGGGAAGATCCAAGTACCTTCTCAAGAAGAAAAAAAAGATCATGTGCCAAGAATAAAAATCATAAGGGCCTTGAATTTCTAAACAGAAACACCGAAGACTAAAAACAATAGAGCAACATCTATTTTTAGTTTTACAAACTAAAATTCTATGTCCAAACTATCAATCCAGGAGTAAGGGTAGAATTTGCCTTATGAACTCTTTCTCAGGAAGCTACTCGAAGATGGGTTCTACCAAAAGGAGGCAGGGAAACAAGAAAGAGGAAGACATAAAAGTCAGGAAATGGGACAGAAAATGAGAAGTCCCAAAATGACAGCTGTGTCATTCAGACTGGAAAACGCTAGAGAAATCCAGGAGAGAGGTCTCCAAGAAATTAAAATAGACTATTTGACTTGTTTGCATGTTCTGAGAGGAGACATAGACTTGCAGTGGAGCCTTTGGGCCATATTAGTGGTACATACAGAGAAAGCTAAGTAGCTGAAAAACAAATTAATTATTAACTCTAAGGAAAACAAAGTCCAGTACAAGAAAGGAGATGAGTAATATTCAATAGTCATAATAATGTTGAAGCTACAGATTTAACATAAGATCATGACATTTAACTAAATTTAACATAAAATCATGACATATAACTAAATTGGAACAAAAGGGGAAAGTGTGTGTGTGTGTGTGTGTGTGTAGGCATGCAGAAAGGTTTAGGAGAAGAGCATTCTCACCTCTCACCTTCTGTGTAGTAAGTTAATGAGGCTGCTTGGTTTTAATATAAGCCTTGCACAACTATTGACTTAAAACAGGTACATATTTAACTTCGGTAATGGAACATAATATTTAAAATTTTTTTTCAGTAGCTAAGATGTTAAGTTAAATATGTCAATATAAAATATATCCAATTTTTTTTTTGGAATTGAAAGTTGGTTTGAATTTATTTCTGAAAGATACTCAGTATTTGTATGTCAGAACTATTTAAACATTAAGATGTAACTTTGCAAATACCCAGATGGACATTTATAAAAAAACTATGAAGTTTTTATAAGAATAAAAGAGGTCAAAAATAAAACTATGAAAAAAAAATATATCATTTAAAAATCTAAACAATTTATTTTTAATCTTTCAGAAAAGCTGTAAATATAAAGCATGTGATTTTATCACTTCTTAAATTACCACTCTTTTCCTATTACATTACTTTTAGGACGTCATTTCCTAGAGAACAGTATTCTTTTTTTTAAAAAAACGTATTCTTTATTACCAAGATGGTTTTAACCGGAGGTGCTGGTTTGGTAGTCCTTTTACATAGTTTGAAGCTGGTAAACCTTTGGGCCTTTTTTTAAGAGGTAACCTTGGTCATTTAATGATCCAATAAAATTTTCAAAATCAGCAACCTGGAATAAAATATCAAAAAACAGCCCATTAAGTAATATGCAAAAATATTATTTATAAAATGAATCTCTCAAACAGAAATATACAATTCTCAAGTTTCTTGGGCAAATTTATTTGTATTTCCTCATAGAGAAAACTGCTAACATATGAGCTTTCAATTCTATTATGAGATTCTATTCGATTAGCTGAGCTAATAAAAAATAAAAACTCCAGTATCTACAATATTTTCTTTAAAAGATTTATTTATTAGAGAGAGTGAGCGAGAGCGAGCACAAGCTGGGGGAGAGGCAGAGGGAGAGGGGGAAGCAGGCTCCCCGCTGAGCAGGGAGCCTGATATCGGCTCAATCCCAGGACCCCGGGATCATGACCTGAGCCAAAGGCAGATGCTTAACTGACTGAACCACCCAGGCGCCCCCAGAGTATTTTATATTTGTTTTAGATTAGCTTCAAAACAAAAATTAGACTAGCTTCAAATCTGAAATGAAGTGGGCAGTTTTCCATATAAACTATGTGCTTAAAGTTGTATTACATCCAATTTCACTAAAACTTTTAAGTAGGTGGAGCAGGTGGAATCATGTCTATTTAACAAATGAGGAAACTGAGATTCAAAGATGTTAAGATGACTTGCCCACAAGGGATTGTCAGAGAAACACGGAAAGTGAGTCTTGCTAGGTTTCTCCCAACTGTCAAGATACTAAAAAAGAGGTAGGTATGTGTTTTAGATAAAAACTTTTTTTTTTTTAAAGCTCTGAGCAGCTCATTTCATAGCTTAGAGAAAATGTTTATATTTTGAAATACTCCAAAAAAGCCTATTCCATTTTTTTATCCAAACCTTTTATTATTTTTTTGATCTCCATTTTATCTTTTTAATTTTAATTCCAGTAATAGTTAATAGTGTTATTTTTTTTTTTAAAGATTTTATTTATTTATTTATTTGAGACAGAGAGAATGAGAGACAGAGAGCATGAGAGGGAGGAGGGTCAGAGGGAGAAGCAGACTCCCCGCCGAGCAGGGAGCCCGATGCGGGACTCGATCCCAGGACTCCAGGATCATGACCTGAGCCGAAGGCAGCCGCTTAACCAACTGAGCCACCCAGGCGCCCCCCCTTTTTTTTTTTTTAAAGGTTTTATTTATTTATTTGAGACAGAGAGAATGAGAGACAGAGAGCATGAGAGGGAGGAGGGTCAGAGGGAGAAGCAGAATAGTGTTATGTTCATTTCAGGTGTACAATAGTGTGATTCAACAATTCCACATATTATTCAGTGTTCCTCATGATGTGTACTTTTTTTTAAAGATTTATTTTTATCTTTTTCTAAAGATTTACTTATTTGAGAGAGAATGCACATGTGATTGAGCACATACGGGGGTGGGTGGGACAGAGGGAAAGAGGGAGAGAGAATCTCAAGCAGACACACTCCCTGCTGAGTGCAGAGCCCAACTCAGGGCTCAATCTCAACACCCTGAGATCATGGCCTGAGCCAAAATCAAGAGTCAGACGCTTAACCAACCGAGCCACCCAGGTGCACCTAAAGATTTTATTTAAGTAATCTCTACACCCCGATGTGGGGCTTGACCTTGCAATGCTGAGATCAAGACTTGCATGCCCCACTGACAGAGTCAGCCAGGTATCCTTGATAAAGTGTACTTTTAATCCCCTTCATCTATTTCACCCATCCCCTCCCCCACCTCCCCTCTGGTAACCATCTGTTCTCTATAGTTAGGAGTCTGTTTTTGGTTTGTCTTTCTCTTTTTTTTTTTTTTTAAGATTTTTATTATTTGAGAGAGATATAGCACAGAGGGAGAGTGAGAGGGAGAAGCAGACTCCCTGCTGAGCAGAGAGCCTGATGCGGGCTCAATCCCAGGACCCTGAGATCATGACCCGAGACGAAGGCAGATGCCCAACCAACTGAGCCACCCAGGCGCCCCTTGTTCATTTGTTTTGTTTCTAAAATTCCATATATGGTATTTGTCTTTCTCTGACTTATTTCACTTAGCATTATACTCTCTAGCTCTATCCATGTTGTCACAAATGGCAAGATTTCATTCTTTTTTATGGCTGAGTAATATTCCAGTGTGTGTGTGTGTGCGTGTCTGTGTGTGTATGTGTGTGTACTGCATCTTCTTTATCCATTCATCTATTGATGGACACTTAGGTTGCTTCCATAATTTGGCTATTGTAAATAATGCTGCGATAAACACGGGTGCATATATTACTTTGGAATTAGTGTTTCTGTATTCTTTGGGTAAGTGCACAGTAGTGTGATTGCTGGATCATTGGGTAATTCTATTTGTAATTTTTTGAGGAACTTTTGTACTATTTTCCATAGTCATCCACATCTTTTGATATTTAAGAGTTCTATACTTAATAAAGACCTCATGAGATTGTCATTAAAAGATTTATTAAGTATTTGGGGGCGCCTGGGTGGCTCAGTCGTTAAGCG